AAATATAAGTAGTAAGTATAAAGGTATTGAGTTAGATTCACATACAGTTCGTCTGAAAGGAACTAAGTCAGGGCTTTCTATAAACTGATTTGCTTTGATGTTCATCAAGTTTGTAATCCAATTAGAACGCTGTAGATATCGTATATATATTTCATCTCAAGCTTTACTTTTAACATAACCATGAAAGTATAATTTATCTAATTTAGCAAGTTAGATCAGGAATTAATAATGTACTAGTAAAGTCAGATATTAACCATATAATAAACATTAATTTATAATCTAAAACAATTAAAAGCAAAAGCGCGTGAAATCCATTCACTAGTAATAGACAATAAATTCTCCATAGTGCAAACCTATTTAAAATCACGCGAACCAAGAAAAAAAAATTCATTTAGAAACAGATGTATCCGTGATACCGTTATTGTTAAAATTAATTTTATTATCTATGACATGACAATAATTTGTTCACGCAAGACATTAAAATGAAATTAGATGGGAGAGATTTGTGAGGGGGAGCGAGGGATGAATCGGTTACTGTCAAAATAAAGGTTATATTTGAGATGCGAGGACCCTGCGCCGGTAAAGCGGTGAATAAATCACATAATCGGATCGAAACGAACGCAGATCAACTATTTATTTGTCCTTTGACGTACACCTTTGTACTTCGCAAACTTATTTAAATGATTTTACGTCAAATCTGTACATAGAAATATTAAAGATAACATTAATAGAATTTCTATTTTAATGTTGAAGTTTGAAGCACTCCAAAGAACCAAAAATATTGTTCAGACTAAAGTAAAATAAATGAAAATCTCCTTCTATTTTCATCAAAACCACCAATTTTCTGAAGGAGTTTTGAAGAAAATCCAGCAGAATACTTAATAATATTTTAATTCTATCATCAAATTAATCAATTAATCCGTAATTACAGTTCTATAAGCATAACAAATTTCACTATTATGTCGCAATTGTAAGCACCCTCAGTGCACCCCTTGCGTACACTAGCGGGGAGGTGTGAACACGTGCTGATCCTAAAGCGATCCCAGGAGATGCGATCTATTTCATTTGATACACTCCACTTTGATGGACTCTACAATTAGTAATGGGTTATGGTTATGATTTTTTTATCGCGATATTATACAGGTAAGTGCATGGAAACGTTTAGGAAATACTCATTTACTTTTCGTGCGCTTTTATTACTACCTATCATCTTAGCAGCAGGTCATTTAGATTCTTAAAACTGTTTTATCGTTGGGTAAGTAATGATTAAAATTAATAAAATCTCCGAAAACAGTTTCCTTCGTACGTCAAATTGAAGTAGAAAGAACAATATTCCTACATTTAATGAATACCTAATTAAATAACATTAATTAAGGTATAGAAAGCACAAAGTAAAATACACGAGAAGGAACAGATTCGTGAAACAATTCCACGTACAACAACATAAAGAGGCCGGGCGCTGCCAAGCTGTGGGTTTCATTACGTTCTAAATACTCTTTTTAGCACAAAAGGACTTCAAAAAGGTAAGCGCACGGTGGAACACAAATCTTGCGCGCAAACCGTTAAATTAAAAATAAATATTCCGAAACGTCAGCATGTTAGGGGTCGGAAAATATCGAGAAAAAAATAAAAGAGCGTCAGAATAGCCGCTGTCAGTTCACAGGCGGGGCAAGGGGGCGCGGACCTGGGGAGGGGAGAGGGTAAGGTGAATCTTTTTGTGAAGTGGAGAGAATTAATTTAACCCGCTGCGGGGTAACACGACATGGCGGTAATTGAAAAGTTCGCCCCTTATCGGCGGCGCGGCGGCGGCGTCGGTGGCGCGCCGTCGGCGATGCGTCTTCGCGACACTCCGCTAAAAGTCGCCTTGAGCCTTATCATAATTATAGACTTATTTATATTTTTAAATGTACGAATAAATTACACGATGAAATAAAATGTAAAACTTGATAATTTCTCGTTTGCCTTGAAATAATGATTCCAAGGACAAACTAACGAATAAATTCATATCATATCATCTAAGTTAGTTAATGGTTAAAAAGAGATTGTATAAACATGATAATTTTAAACTATGTATATGTAGTATTGGTAAATTAATTAAGTGTTACTCATACTGTAGTATACATAAATTATTAAGTAGGCAAAAATGACAAAAGCTTTTTGATTTAAACCCTTTAACTTTTTCAGTGAAATTCAAAAAGTGTCGAAACTCGAAGTAGGCGTTGGCTTGCTCGCAGTTTTCATTGATTTTAATTTAATTTTCACAAAGTTAAATTGGGGATTACGTCTATTTTATGGAAGTGATTTTGGAGAGATTCAGTCTTTTGTTTGTATTAGTTATTAATTAAATACATTTTTGGAATTGCTCGACCTCCAAGAATAGGCACAGGATTTGATGTACAAATATCTAGATTATCTTTCACAGTTTGATACTTTCTTACTTTGATACAATTTAATAAAGTCCGTTACACACATGTAACGAGCTCAGAATTTTATGTTTTTTTCTAATTCGCGTACATAATGTTATAGAGTATAGATGATACTCTATAACATTATAAACAGAAAAGACTTGATTGTTTGTCTGTATATTAAATAGGCTACCGATACTGAACCGAATACAAAAATTGTTTCACCAATTGGAAGCTACACTACTTCCAGGTGTTATAAGCGCGGACGAAGTTGCAAGCCACTGCTAGTAAATAATAATTTGAATGACTTTTATTTTAAATATGGAGAAAGGGAGACTAACGGATATTTATTACTTACTCGTCTAGTTACTAATCCCAAAAAAGCTTATTTAGAATATTCCAGTGCAATAAGTGAAGTATTTCTGACCTATCTTTAAATAATACAGTAAGCTATATTGTGATCTGTTAAGTGGAACGAGACGAAATGTCTGTCTGTACCTTGATTAATTTACCAAGTTAATCCATTATTCCGCGGTTGCGGCCGGTAAGCGACCTAGTCGAAGTGAAAATGCATGAATTATAAATAGCTATCGGCTTACTTCGCTCTCTCTGGCGCTGCCAGTCGAAGTCGGCTCGTATCATTGTTACGTAAAATATACTTGAGCATTTACGATATGTTTTCAAAGCCCAATACATATAGATATATGTAGGTAAATATATAGATATTACAATTGTTATGACTAGACTTTTTATTTTGTTAAAGTAAAAATTAAAAAAATAGACAGCTTTAATACAAAATTAAGGGGTATTAAATGAAAAAATCAAATACATTGCCGAAAGCAAATGCATTTTTTGAATAGTTTAAAACACTATCAGCACGAGAGAAGTGGGTGAAGTCTAACTATACTGTATATAATATTAGTGGCTTCTTAATGTCGTAGTAACTTAATTAATTCGACACTGATTGTTCCACTGACTACATTAGGCTTTCGTTATATAAGTAACGCAGTATACTGTTGGCTGAGCGGCGGCGCGGCGTCTAAGTTTCGTGAGGGCGTATAATTACGCGAGCGAGTAAACATATAAAGGTAATCCGGGTCGCGGCGGCACAAAGTGATGCTCGTGAATAATTCAGCGACGGCACCTGCGCGTAGACCGCAGTACGCGAGGGCTACCTAACTACACGACTCTGCTGTACAAAACTGTAACTCTTATATAATGTGTTAAGTTAGATGGTCTACGAATTCTTGGCACGTTTTTATTGCAGCAAGAGGTACGTAACACAGCACGACGTATACGATAAACATATCTAATGCGTAAAATTTCAATTGTTTGACTATTGAAGTGAAATTAATCGTAAAATCTCAAAAATATCTGAAGGTTTGGATCAATTATGTGATCGTTGTGATAAACTTTTACATGTAAAGCGCAATTATAATTGTTTTAATTACAACTGCATGTCACATGTATATTTTGTTGATTTTTTTTATTTTTGAATTTTAAATGTGCTACATTTATTACAGTGCCAACCCTGAATGATCGTGCCAAGTATTTTAAGGCAACGTAAAAGGCTTTGTCACATAGTGAGAGATATCGCACGACTTGTGGCGGACGCGGTGCACTATGAATATTCAATTTATTTACCGAATTATGCTTAATTGTCGAGATTTTGCAATATATGCAAATTAAGAGGAGTCGTTGCTTGCATGAGTATCACAAAGTTATAAACACAAAGACTATGAATGATATACATACTTGATAGGATTTAGATAGAGTTAATAATAATTTTACGTATTACATATTGAGAAATATAATATTTACATGTTAGAAAATCATCGTGATATCAATTAATTTTTTAATAATAAAATCATCTCAATTATAAAAAAAACATGCAGACGAACTTATAACCTCCACCTTTCAGAGGTCGGTTCAAATACTTAACACCAATAATATTAAAGAAAAAGTTTTCCAAAACTATTTGTCCTATGTTACATAATACATAATAAATAAAGGTGACAAAGAACTGGACCTGGAAGACGTTCAATATCGAATATATGGAGATGGCGTAATGACAAATGTGTCCGCTTCGAATGGGGCTGGCTGTTATATGCCATCGTATTTATTACATACAGTATATCAACTAAAGCACAAAGCGACCTGCTGTGCGAGTGATCGAAACACTAACAAAGCATTCTCTTTACACCCTCTATCTTTCATACGATCTTATATTATTTTTGATACAGTGTGTTTCTTTTTACAAGTAAAGTTTAGGTATTTCAATTTACAAGAATCCCAGGAATTGTGTACAATCTTTTGTCCCTATGCCGACTTCGCACCGATGGATATTAGTTTTGTAAACTCTTTATAAAAATATGATTTATAGTAGGTATATCCTACTAGATGTTGCCTGCGACTACATAAAAATACAAGTTATTATCTTATTGTTTGTGTTGTGTATAAAACTTGTTGTAATCGGTTTATATGGTGCTTGCGACATTAAATAATAAGACCCCGAAAGAGTTTATAGCTTCCAAGACCTTTAATTTGAGTTTATATGATGTTTTGTTGTAAAAATTAATATGGTTAGTCCCTCACCATCTTTGTTCATATTGGCCTGAAAGCACTTAGCAAGCCTGCAGGCGCGGCATTGGTTGCGGTGCGTCTTGTCGACAGGGCAGCGTCCCTTCAGCTCGCCGCCCGCCTTGCACGTGTACACGCGGTTCCTGTGTATCGACCGCTTGAAGAAACCCGAACACCCTGTACATAAATATAATGTAATACATTGCATGTCACTACAATTTTTTCATATGGAAAAGCGCTAGGTGAGTATATTTGCATTGAAAGTATTATGATCTAATCTGATGCCCAATGCCAGTATCAGTTATTTACAGTTTAAATTCTTAGGCCGTGATGGCCAGATGTATTTTATCCAAACAATTTATCAAAATTAACAGAGTGCCAGGCTTACTAATGAATATTACCGAGGATTTCCAGTGCCAAAACGTTTGTACCTAAACATATTCATTATACTTAAATACAGAGATAACAACATGTTTTGTACAGATGTTTCCGCAGTGAAAACTCGCGATTTGATCTTACCGTCGCAGCTGTAGATGCCATAATGTTTGCCGGAGCTTCTATCGCCGCACACGTTGCACGGTATGTCCAGCAACCGGTCTCCTGGTAGAAATTAACACGTATTAGCAATTTTATTGCGCTAAAAATAATACAAGACTGCCAACATAGCGTTGGCAGTCTTGTATTAATTAGCTTATATAATAGTGTATCACGCAAGTTTGAACAATTTAATTACGTTTAAAAATATTGTCATAATATAGTTTCTTTCTAAAAGCTTGCAATTTTTGGCTTTTGAATGAAAGTACAAAAGTGGACTGTTATTCGGAGATCATTAAATCTACTCGGTTTCCTCGCAAGAAATGTTTATCTATTAATTGACACTTCCGCCCACCAACGCCGCTCCCTTTGCCAAAATAGATTAGTCAGATTACAACAATCTCGCTAATAACGTTGGTGTTTTTGTTCCGTTTACAGAAACCTTCCCCTAAAGCCCCTTTTCCTCAACGCTCACAATTGACTACATTTACACCGTGCCGTAAGGAGATGTAACAAAGTTCCTATAGATGTTTCGTTATGACTTTCACAATTATACAATGTAAACAATTTATTTTTTAAGCCATATCTGATTGAGACCTAGGTCCGCTACAACGATGGCTGCCATGGTCATATAATATAAAATTGATCGCCATTTTTCATTACATCAAATCTAAATTTAAATATTTGAAATAAGCAAAGCTAGAGGTTTAGTATCTTAAGATAAGTATAGAAAGAATAACGAAGAAATAAAATTAAAAAAATAAATGAAAATGTCTGTTACGTTACTGTGTAAGTGAAGGTTATCTATAATACCATGAATCCTTTCTAAAGATCTTTTCTTTCCTCGGCGAAATGGACTTAGACGACTTTAGTAATCGTCTTTGGGGCCTCACAGAAAAGCCGCGAAGTGTCGTAATTATCTCCTTTCGTTTTGCCTCCAAAAGGATTTTGTATCAAAAAAGAATTTTCGAGATTAATTCGCTTTGAACGAAAAAATAAGCTGTTTCTTTCAACATTAAAGCGATTATACATTCCTGTTATAATATATAACATTTTAATATATTAAATTAAATAAATGAGCACTCTTTTAGAGTATACAAAGGGATTCGATTTATTAACAGACATGAATTACGAATTGATTCGGAAATCAAAGAAATTGTAACACAAAGATCTATATGTAACGTGTAGTTGCAATGTTTCATACAAGTTTGACGTCTAATCGGGAGAAGATTTTCGAAATATTATTCTGTATTAGAAAGGACAACACTGACAAAATTGATTCCAACAAAAGGCCTTCGAAGGTTAATTTTTGTGAGGACTTTTGTGCACTAGATTAGGTATCTATATATTACTAGCTGTCGCCCGCGACTCCGTCCGCGCGGGATTAAAAATAGATGTTGGTCGATTCTCAGACCTACTCAATTTGCTCACAAAATTTCATGAGAATCGGTCAAGCCGTTTCGGAGGAGTATGGGAACGAAAATTGTGACACGTGAATTTTATATATAAGATGATAAGTCTATGTTGTAACAGTATATCTATGAGGACTCAATATTTAATAGTTATGTATTCGATTAACTTAACACGCTTGATGCTACTTTTATAATCATTGAAATATAAACGCGATCAAAGTGCTAATTTGTTTCACTTAACAGCCATGGCGGGGGATGCTGGGGCGATACGCCGCGCGTTCATTGCGTCCGACGAGTAATACGCGCAAAATTACCGACACCGTGTGAAATGCAACACTCATCCTAATACCTAAACATGTAACTTTAATTGTAGTTATATTTAAGTACATTAATAGTAGTTGCGTTATTCCAGCGTTATTACAGTTACAGTTACTCCAGCGTTTTGAGTTATGTTACATAACGTACGAATACCATATACGGACCGCAGTCTTGCAACCCCCACTAAATGCAGCTTAAAGCAGGCCATGTCTGTCCAGTCTTAAAGTGCCATAAATTACATTATTAGAGATGTGATGAATAATGCTATACATCTGGTCATAAGAAGCACATCAATTTGCTCCTTTCCGCCCGAAGTAATTAAATAACTAAAAGTTTGAAAACACAAAATACCTCTTTATTTAGGTTCCACTATCCGTAAAATAAATATTTAGCCGACGCTTTCCGGACAATGTGTTAGAAACCCACCATTTAGTCAACATAGAATTTATTAGACGTGGTTAAATATAACATAGTTGCGATTATTTGATTACACTGGGGATTAGTATATAGACAATAATAGACGATAACTGTGACAGTTTATAGTACTTAATATTTTCTTCGCTAAATTTCATTTGCCAAAGTTTTTTTCGTGTTTTATCTTATATATAAAATTCTCGTGTCACGATTTTCGTTCCCATACTCCTCCAAAACGGCTTGACTGATTCTCATGAAATTTTGTCAGCATATTGAGTAGGTCTGAGAATCGGCCAACATCTATTTTTAATCCCGCGCGGACAGAGTCGCGGGCGACAGCTAGTAATTATATAAAGACTGACGTATTTTTAACATATTTAATATTAACAGTGAAAAGGATCAACTCAATAAGTAATTTGGATTTACATATCAGATCGTATGTTGATCGCCAAAGTTTCAGAGATGTGGGCTTGCAGTAGTGGCTCTCAATTTGCTTGTGTTTCAACTATACAGGATGTTTTTAGGTTAATAAATATTATTATAATATTAAGTTTTGAAATAGATTAACAAATGTTTAGATGTTGATTTTCTTAGTTATTTAAGTATTTTTAAAATCAATATTAAACTAAACATTCACAAAAGTTAATTGCTATATAAATAATCTGTGGATTACCACTTCTCTATGGTGTAATTAATATTGAAATAAACATTTTAATGATATTGATTATGTTTACATTATTGTAATTTTTTAGTTAAACCTTTTAAGCATTTTATTATTGAATTGAATTAAACTTTCTTCATTAAACTCTTGTTATAATCAAGGCATCGCATATAAAAGAAAAATAAAACAAGGGTGTAAAGCAAACACGATGTAGATGGGATAGTGTGGGGTGCTCCAAGTTTCGGGTCCGTCCCTAAGTTACGTTTGCAAGGAGCCGCGCTTTGTTTCACTCCGCTCGTCTTCGGATCGTGTTTGCACGCTCACTGTAAACAATGGAGAGCTTACGGCAGATCTTGCACGGACACGGAATAAGTCATCATAGTGCTGTCTGAATATTTTACTGTATTTTATAGATATACTAATTTTAAATTTATTGAATGTACCAAAGGAGTATTGTAGTTTACAGTTAATTGTTTTTATTCTTTGAAATAAAAGAATTAAACGATTTTCTTCATTTCAAAAGTTCTTCATTTCTATTTTCATTGAGAAGTTCGAAAAACTTTTGGTCACGTAAATTGCATTTACTTAAGTATGCAAACATTCAAAGACATTGGTGAAGATATTTGATCCTTTTTTTATAATAATTTTTTTACAATGATTTTTTAGAGAATTGGAAATACGTTACATTACAGCTTCAAAAAATAAGTTAAACAGAAATGAGTTGCACCATAACTTATTTAATTTGTTAATAACACAATGCATTTGTTATTTTGTATTGAATCGCATTTATAAAGCTTTAACCGACCATTCTTATTCCGGTATACTTAGTTAAGTAATTCCTCGAGCCGACGCTTCCGTTTCCGTCGGGACAACGACTTACTCTTGAAGAAGTTTAAGTTACACATTTAGCGCATTAATAACTCGCAATTTGATTTGAATAATGATTTGATGATAGCGGCCACTTGTGTTATTTTAACAAATCTGGGGAATGGGACTTAAAAAAAAGTCGCAATGGTGTTAACGACACGTAAACATAATTAGACTGCGGAATTTCTACATGTTGAATATCCGGTTGTCTATTCTATATATCCTTCCTTTATCTATTAAATAATGCTTATAGAAAACCATATCACTTATTGTAGTATTTAAAATCACTGACAGTACCTTTTTATTTACTTTTAAATAAGTATAGAAAGTCCGCAAGAGAAGATATACTTTTGACCGTCTTAGAGAAGATTAAAAATCTGTTTAGAAAGCTTAATTTACATGCTCTATAAATGTTTATTTCTTTATCTTTTAAGGTAAGGTAAATATTTTGTAACTTCTTTAATTTATAGCATCAACTTAAGATTTAATGGAAAAAATGATGCATGAATGATCAACCTTGAGTTGTACAATTTTATAATCTCTTTTAAAAATGATTTAATTAATAAATTTTTTCTACTTATTCATTAAAAGTATTTTTCTGTACATTGTCATTCATACCTGTGCCCATTTTACGGAAAGCCGTTGCCGGCGTCCGCTGCTTCTCCCAAAATGAAGACAGCTCGAATATCTCTATGTCCATAAAAAAAATCACTAACACATAACTAAAATTAAATTCATTTTTAAGTTCCTTCAAAATTAAAAACACAACTCTATTATTTTTTATGGTTATTCGCGTTTAATGACAATCTGTGTTAAAAAATAATTTACATCATAAAAAAATTATAAACGGAACACGATCAGTGACTTTTTCTCGGTGACTTCACCACACGGTGGCGGCTTTCGACAGACTGCTCTGATAATTGTGATCTTTGAAGCCGCGGAGATCGCGAGTCACATCATCCCCTGATTACATCGAGACCCACCCCCTGAGCGGGACGGCGATACCGGCAATATGCAAGTGGGTGGGAGACCGCTGCGAGCACATCTTGTGTCCCGGTCCACAGGCTACATTGTCAGGGCTCGCGCGGCTCCAAGCTGACCGTATTACGTGCAAACATAATGAATGGCCTCACATATTGATAGCCAGCATGAAACAAGTTTTTACTGAAAAAAAATACATATACATTTTATCGTAATTGTACGAATATAATCTTTAATAAGCTTACATATTGGTCTCACTTTAGTGTATTATATTAAGGATTTTTCATTTGGAATGAAATATAGTAAAGTTGATCAAATTTAAATCCAACCAATATTTACTTATTGTCCTAAAAGTTTTAAAGGATCTTATGTCACTTTTTAATATTTTTATGTGACTTTATTTTATTTATAACTTTTTAGAACCTATGAAATGCTAACACGATTTTGTTAAATTAGAAAGATGTGAAGCGTAACGAAGTACAATTTTTAATTCTAGCTGTTAACATGGGTATTGTAAACATTAAAATGTCAAGTGAGGCCAGGGCAAGGGGGAGCTTTTATCGTGCTTGCGGCCAATCAGAATCGCGTCTGTACCGTGGGCGGCGCCTCGCAAGCTGGCCTCCTCGGCTATGGCGAGCTACGCCGGCGACGACTGCTACGGCGAGCTACGAAAGTCGCCATGTGTGCCTTGACGTTACACTGCTATCTTTGTAATTAGGGTTTCGCGCACTTTTGGTTGAATTAAAAAAAATTATAAGAACTTTTTTAATAAGCTTAACCTGTTGGTGTAATGAGGAATATTTGTCTTCAGATATTTAAATATAAAAATATTTGAAATAAATTAAAATAATTGGATTACAAACGAGACCATAATTCTGCAAATACAAATATAGTCGAACCCGTATAAGCAAACTTCCGAGGAACCGCGACAATTTTTGCTACCAAAGGTTTCTTTCTAACCCGAGTTTTTCGCTTATGGAGGTTTGGCAATGAAAAAATAAAGATCAAGGAAGTAAACTGTATAATAGTTATTCTAAAATTTACAACTGCCCTTTCGTTTCATTATATTAATTAAAAAATGTTTTAAACGTACACTTTTTAAAACTGTATATAATACTTTTTGTTACTTAATGTACTTATTTTATTAGACTAATTCCATAGGATATTTTGTTAAAATTTGCAGCAACACTTTATAGTCAAATGGTTTAATAAACTACTTTATACCATTTTATATATTTAGCATATAGAAATTCGTGATTTAGTGAAAATGTTAGGGATCATTAGTATTAGTTTGAGTACATACATGCGACTATGTTGATTTTAAGGGAGGCGGTCGCAGCCACTACAAAGGAGGCCCGCACGTGATGCGATTGCCATAAAAGTGCACTACACTTTTATCCTAGTCTCAATGTAAATATTTCTTTTATAAATCTTTGATGGCGAACGTAATCCCACCAGTAGGTTCGGATTATCTAGAAATCTTAGGATTACTTCGGCTAATGTAGGTAACTAGCTCAGTGTTGCTACTATTAAATCTTGCTAATATTTTATATGTGTATGTTTAGATGGATGGATAGGCGCATGGATGGATGGATGGATGTTTGTTTGAAGGTATCTCCGGATCTCGCTGAAATTTGGCATAGGTGTAAAGAATAGTCTGGAAAAACAAATACATATTAAGTTTGTTTTTAATTCTGTGCGGACGGAGTTGCGAGCTACAGCTAGTAATTTATAAACCGTATTCCTAATTCAGATATTTCTGGTTCTCTGACTTTTTATTTGATTTTTACTGACTTTTTAGGTTTTATGAACAAGAAAATATTGAACTATTCGTAAAATTTATTTTTATTTTATTAAATCCTATTTTCGAAGTTATATTGAATTAACTAGTCTTGTTTATTAATATTGTTAACGTGTATCTCGATTTATCATTTATATCGTGTGAATTTCCCACGTATAAACCCTTTCGTTTTAAAAAAAAATATTTTAACAAAACAAAGAATAAAAATTTAAAATAGACAGGACACTGTTTCTACAATTGTTAATTTTAAATAAAAACATATGCGCAGTTGACGTGCCGAAAAGGGTGACCCTTGGCGTCGCGTGAGTTGGCAAACACTTGAATAATGCGCTCGTGCCGGCCTATTGTCGGTCCACTCCTTTATAAGCCCTATTTGAACAGACAATAAAACAATTATTAAAGCGGTTTTAACGCAACCAACGCCTTTGTTTACGTAACATCATTTTTACAATTATGAAAGGTTATTTTCAAAGAAACGTAAAAACACTTAACACTGATTCAAAACCGAGGAACAGATTACGGATTTCCATATCATCTTGATGATATATTTTAAAAATTACTTTCAATTTTACTGTCATATTTCATTTAGGTTCTTACAAAATTGTATAGAAAATGATATCACAGTGATTTCCATACGAATATGCCTTCACCTTTTGAATGACAACTCATTCAATATGGAGACACCGCACCGCTACCCTTCGTTTATCGTCATTAGCGCTCGGTTACGTAAAGCGCTGTATTTAACATCGATGTACGATCAAAGAGTGCTTTTATTTTCTTTAATTTTTTTGTATGCATATCTAGGATATAATTGCAAAAACAAGACAACTATGTCAGGCAGGTTCCATAGAATTTTCCGTGTTTAAAAACTTATACACTATTTCAGATTACAATATATCTATATTCCATGTTTTTCCAATATCCGTTCAGCCGCCGTGGAGTTGGTAACAAACATTCACCTAAATTTCATTTATAATATAATATTACAAAGACTTGGTGGTAAAAATGCCGCATCTAATTTTTCCTAGTATTCCGTGTCGTCAGCTGCTTTTACCGGTGCGATGATACACACCTGCAGTGACAAATGAGCACTACGGGCAAAAATCGCGTCGTGCTCGCCTCGCCTCTCTTGCTTGAATTAATTCGTCTTATGGTGTCTCTTAGAGCGTCATTCCCAAATCAAGTCTTATGTATTGTACAGACTGGGCAAGTATTTTAAATATATAAAGATTATTTAATCTGGGAAAAATGCTTAAAGTTTTTGTTATCATAAGTATGTAACGAAAATCTTTTTAATGGTGATTTAAAATAAACTAAAAAATCCCAAAAACACAGTATGGTTTTCTGATAATATATTTATTTCACTGCAGTATGAATATTGCCAAATATAGATTTTCTAATTTAGAACAAATATACCAATTAGTATTCTATTCCTATTTCAACGTATTTGAGTAGGTAGCTAATACTATTAATTTTCAAATTTGTGTTAAATTAAAAAAAAAATAATTTAAAACATGATCCTGTCTAAACATAAGTAGATCGCTCTGCACGTAGCTGGCACTTAGTAGCCCGCGGCACTCTGATTTATGTTTGGGCGACATCGAGTCGCGACAATTTATTTCAATTAACGCTTTACCGCTGGAGGCCACGTCACAATTGAAAGAGAGTAATACAAACTAGAAATACATATTCAATTTAGATCCCTTACTTTAATATATTCTTGGTAAAATAACATGTTAAGGCTTAGGAGATCATAATTAGTTTTGTCCAGGTTATTTCTTGTCCAAGACTCTATCAAATGGGTTTCGCATAACTCTTTACTTTGTTAATTTGTATACTACAACAGATAAAATAAAACAAAACACAAATTCTCATGACTACACTCGTCTTTCTACCTACGTTCCTATTATATCCTTTATTCGTCTACGTTTCCTATCCCATACTAAATACTAGGAAATATATTTGTCAGTTGTTAAAATCTATGTTGAAATAATGTCGTGCTTTTTAATTTCTTCAAATAAAATGGCAATAAATGCTGTGGTCTAAATTTTTTCCATGATTGCGTTAAACGGTTTGCATTGTGAATCCCGATTATACCATCGAATTCATTTGCTCGTTAAAAGCGTGACTATTCTCAAATCCTTCGCTCGGCAAACAGGAGCGACCGCTCGCGAAAAAGTCCTTTTAAAAATGTTGCGGCACGTACGGGAAGGAGGACGTCCATTACTGCAAAGTGGCGCTTGTTGATTTACAGATTTAGAGCAAGGCGAAAATTATTTTTTATTATACTTTTGGTAACCGGTTATAACGCGCTAGTATAGGTCAGAAAGTACAAACACATCAGTTCTTACTAATATTATAAATGCAAATTTTTGGATGAATGGATAGATGTTTGTTTGAAGGTAGCTCTAGAACGGCTAAACAGATCACGATGAAATTTAGCATACATATAGAACACAGCCTGGAAGAACCAATAGGCTACTAATTTTAATTACGCGCGGACGGAATCGCGGGCGACAGCTGGTTAGTCATAAATTATACAAGTAATATGTACCGTATGCAGTATTTTTATACCGCATTAAATTGGGAAAATATAGAGAATTAAATTTGCTCGTATTTAATTTTTTTTATAGGATAGCGTGTATACAGATTAAGAAGTATATATTCTGAGTAAAAAATTAAATATTTAAATTGTTAATTGGTATATAGCCTCGCTACAGAGTTATCAACTGCAATGTAATTTACCGGTTTTTTATCCTGAAATGAATAAAAATAAAAACTTATTCGCCAAATATTCATAGATAATTTTTTATTTCACTTATCATGTAATAATGCATGTATTTAACGAGGAGACTTCCCATCGTATCCTTTTTAAATTCATTACGTTCGCTCACTCGTCTTTTCTATACTATGTCAAGTTAATCGCAATTTTTATTTTTGGAAAACTTTATTTTTGATCTAAAGAAACATGTTGAAAGACATCAAAATACTATTGTGGTTCTGTGTCGTACATGTCCTGTACATTAAGGCGTCACCTTCGTGCCAGAAGTATCTATGTACGCCCGAAGTGGAAAGATTACGTGATTATATAAACATAAGAACTACAAAAGATCGAAATTTAAGTAAGTAAACATTTCTTTTTGGGTAATAGGCTCTGGTAAAATATTTTAGTTGACTTTAAGAGAGGTATATCGAAGCTAGCGAAATTTGACTTTTCTACTAATATTATAAATGCAAAAGTTTGGATGTACACATGGATCTAGATGTTTGGTTTAGACATAGAACGCTGTCTGGAAGTACACATAGGGTACTTGACAAGCCTTTGCTATTTTCGTAGTCATAGCCAAAATCTAGTCACTCATAATCATTTTTTAAAAGAAAAACTTTATGCAAATCTTCTTCTCATTACATCCGTGTCAAATTTCACGTTCGCGCATTTTCTATGAAATGTTGTACAAAACTTACGTTTTATAACTATAGTGGTTCATGTAGTAGAAAAGACATTACCATGGTTTTATTTCAGGTCCAGCTGTAGATTACTTAAAAAGGTTAGGAGCAGCACAAGGCGTAGAAGTAACTGTGTTCGAGAACAAGCCGAACAAACCTTTAGTAATATTCAAATGGCCAGGACAGGATCCTACACTAAGCAGTATCGCTCTTCTTTCTTATATTGACGTCAACTTTGCTTGTTATGAGGTATTAAGTTTATCTATAGATTAATTATGTTTTATTATTTTACTACAAAAATACCAATATTCAAATGGTAATTAGTATAAATGTATGGTAAAATTAATTGCTTAATAAAGTTGTATTTGTAGGACGGTTGGTCATATCCTCCTTTTTCTGGACAAATAAACGATAATTGTGAAATTGAAGGGCGAGGGACTCAAAGCCAAAAATCCTTATCATTACAACATTATGAGGCTCTAAGTCGATTGACAAATAACAATAAAACTCTGCTTCGAACTGTCTATATGATATTAACGTCAGGTTTGTATTAACTGAATATAATAATGAAAGGGAAATAATAATAAAAAGACTATTTAGTCAAGACTATAGCTGTGTATTGGCAGATGTGTGCGCATATCTCTGTAAAAATTCGAAAATATGTTCGAAGTCAACCAAAACGCACCTTAACTTAGGATAAGCCCAACCCCTTAGTGGGGACCTATAGTGGGCTCAAAATGATGTTGATAATGCATCTGTAAGGAAAGATAGGGAGATGTGGGCCTGAAATCGGAAAATATAACATACTATTCCAATATTACATAGGTTAAATCGGAGACAAAAAAAATGTTTTATTTTCAGATCAAACAACTCCTCGGGATGACGTAGAAGTGTTTTTTAAGAGTAAAACATTTGAAGACATGAATGTAGGCTTTGGATTGGGTGTGGGAGGTCCGAGCCCTCAGCGGGAAATCTACTTGTATAATAAATTTAATACAAAGTACGGTATGTGTTCGTCTGGTAACACATCATTTTTTAAGGCCAATGTGTGATATTTAACCTAAATATGTTCTTTCAGTGATACGAGTAGATTGTTATGGGCAGTCTACATCCAGTGCATTTTTAGCAAATATAAACAGTACGGCTTTAGGAGTGGTACGTATTAATTTTGTTTTAATACTTATATACGGCATGTTCTAAAAGAAAAATAAGGCGATAATCAAATGCCAAATAAATACATAACTTCACAAAATAATTAATAACAAATTAGCAGCTACATTCTTTAAAATTATTTTAGTGCGAAAATTTCTACAATTATTACAACGAATACAGAAAAGAACAATACAGACTGTCACTGAGAAGTAACGATTTTGGAGATTATACAGTAATCAACTTTGTAGGGGGAAAGGTTAGTATGTACAAAATTTATAATTGACTAACTGAGGTGACGCTGTGACCCGAAGTGGGCCTTGATCTCCAACAACAAAAATCTACGAGATATAGATATTCGGGGAGCTACATGTTGACTGGGATGGGACGGCGCGGGCTCAGAAAGAGATTTATAATTGAAGTAAGGCTTTTTATGCGAGAAATACATCTAACAAGCAAGCTGTTTGTTCACTACCACAGTTTAATTGAGAGTTACTTTTGAAAGATACACAGTAAGTAACCATCACAATAGTTTATGGATAATTATTGCTGATTTTATACAAAAACAATTGAATGTTGTAGTGGTAACTTATTCATATTAATAAAACTGTAGTGTGTATATGTAATATAGAATAATGTCATATATCGCACAGATCATGTATTCAAATTACTAATAACAGAAAAAAAATCTGTCTGTTTGTTAGCCTGTACGTAACGGCTGAACCTATTTTGATGGGACTTTGAGGGTAAGGTAGCGGATGCACGCATGCATATTATAGCCTACTTTGTGACTTGTAATTGTTCGTTTAAAGTCAATCCTAGCTTGATTGCTTCTCATATTAATATTATTAGACATAATTGTTCTAGAACCTCGTAGAATACAATGTAGTACCAGCGCATGTAACAGTCTACTACTCCGCCTACTTGGCTTTTGATATCTCGTTTGATGACTTCGTTAAAATGGTAAGTTTGATTTTAAAAATACATTTTATATAAACTATCAATTATATTGATTAAAGATTTAATATTATATAATGTAACGTTTCATTTCTTGTAAAATTATCTGTCTAGACCTATTTTTGCAACATTGCTAAATATTATTACACGTTCCCCAAATTTGACCTAATTTTAATCCATATCTCAATTGAATCATTTATTTTGCCCTCTTTGCAATACAACACAGGTACGTGGTTGGGCATCGGCCGCGGGTGGAAATATAACGATCAGTTCAGTCGTCAAGGAAAAGGGTATTTACTACACTAAGACTGATAACAGTAACCCTTACTATGTCGCATTACAAGAAGCTTTCGATGAACTGTGAGTATAAATAGCTAACGCGTTGAACTTGTTATTACATGAATACTTCAATTTCACACCCACAGAGTTTTAATGGTCGTCAAGGGGTTCTTCGTCAATTTCGTATGATCATGTCATTAAGGGGCTGTCTACTATTAAACGTGCTGCGTGAAAGAGTTACCTACTTGTTTATAATTTTCAGAGATATATCTTTTCGAGTTAGAGCATCAGCAACTACGTCTGATACTACATATTTGGTAAACGCCGGTGTACCTGCCTTCGGATTGTTCCCAGTACTGAATACACCACTGTTGGTCAACTCAGTCAATGAACGGTTGCCACTGAGAAGTTATTTGGAAGGAATACGAATCATGGAAGCTGCGATCTCGCGTCTTGCTAACTTAGCCGGCGACAAAACTGGCAATGATCCGCGGAAGTATTTACTTGTATCGAAATCTCATAAGTAAGCAGATGTGACATTTCGAATTACCATAACAATGTGAAATAATTTAACTTTATTCAATAAAATAATGCACACAATAAAAACGATTAATAAATATGACGATTTTACTTTTGTGTTTTATTATTATTTTTGTTTAATTTAAATTTTCGCCTATTACTGTCTGTTTGTTATAATTTAAAGGATGACGGAGAGGAGATAGCCATGCACTTACTAGTGTATAGTCTGAGCAGTTTGAAAGATGTACAGTCAAGCAATTAAATTCCCTTCTCATTAGGATCGATAACGGGTATCAAACTAGCACGATTGCTATGACAAAGTTTTCAAAATTTACGGAAATGGGTTACAAATTAATGTCCTTGACTGTAAAACAGCCCTGTTTAATGTAATTTTAACTAATTTGAAGTGAATTACTGAATATTTAATATCTCACCTGAATGGAAATTACTCTTCTAACTTCGAGACACTTCAAATCGCAGTGCAACTCTTATTGAACCAAACAATTAAAGTAAATTTTATGTTAGGTAATACTTAACAAGCAAACAAGCATTTTATTCAATTAACGGCGGATTAGACCAAACTGGAGTAAGTTTACACTCGCGAGTAACTACCGCTAGTCTTAGTATAAATACAAGTTAACTTTTGCATTTTACCCACCATTAGCAAAAAATGATTTAACTATGCGAGAGTAATTTCTTACACGGACAATTTTGACGGTATAAAATATTATACTGAGGATGTTAATTGTCAAAGCAGATTGTCATTTGTCACTTAGGAGATTTTCAAAAGTGTACGTTTGACATTGTGTAGAAAAACTCAAATGAACATGTCCAAGGGATAAATTCAAGGAGTAAAATTATCCTGGTATATGTTATCTTCGTGCAAAATCGTGGTGGATCGAACCTGCTCTAAATGAAAAATTAGCTTTGTAGTAATGAATAATGTCTGATCAGGAGAAATACAAGCTTTTCGTGATAAATGGGAGAAATAAAAAAATTATCAATCGCAACTAAAACATGGCAGCTTAAAAGTCTTTCTAGGCAAAAATAGATCAAGCAGTGGTAGACGCCAGTTACAACATCTGTTGCGCGAATAGGCCATCTCGCCCAGTACACTTCGTTAAAAAATTTCGCGTTTCGTCTGATGAGTGTTTTCCGGTGACTTAATTTTAGTCCTTTTTCCCTTGGCGCCTTTCCCAACCTTTTCTCATAGACAAAGGATGGGAAGAGGATTCAGTGGAGGGGCATAGGAAAGCTAAAATTATCTGCCCTTGCTTCTAGTGGCACCCACTCCAGTGATATTTGAGGGATGTGACAATGATGATTTTAAGTGAATATTAAAATAAGGCAATGAAGTAATTCTACCATTTTAATTCCTTGGAATTCAAATTGTAATTAGTGTGTATCTTTGTGTGTATGTGAGTTATCAAGTGTAAAATACCAGTTTTTATCCAGGCATATATTCAAGGACTTTGCATAATGTTATAAGATAAATTACATTTATGTAAAATTGCATTA